GTAAACTGCAGTAATACATATAAAAACAAAGGAAACTTAATATTTTATAGTTTTCCAAATAAACCTCATGAAAAATATTTGAAATATCCTTGGATAAAAGCTGTTAATCGGTTGGAGTAAGTAAATCATTACACATTTTAAATTTACATTTTAGTAACACTTAGGTCTTAAATTAATATGCACTTTACAATAAATAAATATTTATACCTATAGTAGCGTACACACAAGTTAATTTTATTGTATTATTTATGGAAAACTATAATACCTACACTACTCAACATAATATATATATTTTTCTTATTTCAGTAAAAATGGTCAATTATGGCAACCAAAGTATCACAGTTTAACTTGCAGTAAATATTTTATTGGTAACCGAAAATCCAAGGATCCCAAAAGTCCTACATATATTCCTTCGTTGTTTCCTGCTGTTTATAAAACAATATGTACTAATGAACAACAACAAAATGATCGGTATCAACAAAATTGTCATTGTGAAGGAATTAAACAGAAAGCTTCTTCAAGTATTATTGTGACTAAATCTACAGAATCAACTGTTAATGAATTGCCTACGTTTTTGAATTTAAAAGCTTTAGGGGGCATCTGTATCTCTGCATTTATTTATATGACTTAATTCTTTAATAACTTATAACCATTGTAAAGGCTCTACTAATGTAATGCTACGAAGTAGTATGTACTATCGCACTAAGCTATAAGTAGTAAGTATGTATAGGTAACACGAGAGGTAACATGTATAAATCATAATTTTATAATAATAAAAAAAACTTATCGTGTTGTCCGCTAGGTTTCGCGGTTTTCAATTACTTGCAGACTGTCTATAATGCTTTTAAGAAATATACATACCATTATCTTGACTTTTATCAGTAACTGAAATACGGTCAACTTTCGATGAAATAGGAGTATTCATTTTCGTCAAATAACCATCCACAGGCATATTTTCTTCTCCAACTGATAATAATTTATCAAAAACATCCAATTGTTTTACTATCAAGTATAATAATTTAAATTTATTAAATTATGGTTATTATTATATATATTTATTGTTGGCTTTATTGGTTGGTATCTTACCTGGTTTTTAATAGATGTTGACTTAGAACTTTTATCATAAGATAGTTTTCTTCTTACATCTATAAAATTAGATATAATGATAATGTTATAATTACCTATGTATATAATTTGTAAGTTTAATGAAATATCATAACCAAATATTTAATTTTATTATAACGCAATTAGAAAATATATTATAATAGATAAATTTTAAATTATAAAATATAAAATATATATTGGTACCTAATGGCATTCAATTTTATAATGAAAACATTGTTTATGGAAAACTGCTTTTTAAGATCACCGACATGAATAATACATAACTTTTATTACTATAATAGTACATAATATAATTACCTGAAGCTGATGCTTTAAAAGGAGATGGAGACCATCCATTAGGTTTGCTTTCAGTTGATTTAAATTTCTTTGGAGAAGGTGACAGAAATTGTGCAACWTGATTAATAATTTTAGTGTTTGGTTTAATTGATGTATTATCTGCTSCATGATTCTCAGTAACTTCAGAATCTATAAATGATTATATATATATAGGTATAATATAAAATAAAACTTATCATTGAATAGGAAGATATGAATATAGCACTTATATTACCTATATAAACTGGACATGAACTGAAAAATTCTGTAGAATATGGATTTTTCTTATATTTGAACTTTCGATTAACTTTATCATCATCATCAAAGAGGTCAGAAACAAATGTTGCTTTTTAAGCTTTCTGTCTGGCTTTTATCAACGACTCTTAATAATGAAGAATATCCAAAATTATATTAAAAAATGTATACAAATTTCCATTATTTATTAACCTAAATTACCTATATCTGAACACATCTCTCTAGCTTCTAARAAATCATACTCAATTTCATTTGGTATACAGTTTTTTTCAACAAGTTTATGAAATTTAGCTGTTTTTTTTTCGGCCATGCACATGTCCCATTGTTTTTGCAAAACCAAAATTTAGGTACAGCCTCGACTGAGTTATCWGCAAAAAAATGTACAACTGAATATTTTTTTGCATTCATCATATAGATATTTATTAAAAGTATCTAAATCAAAATACACACCACAATGTTAAATTGTATAGGAACAAATTATAACTACCTACAAATAATTTATTAAACAATACCTACACTTCAGCATATATACATAACAATATTAATATATAGGTGTACCTATATACAAGGGAGCATAATATTATATGACCTATATTATTATAATTTGTAGTGAATTAATTTATTGGTTATACATAATATGTTTGGTATACAAACTATAATAATTAATTATATTTATATAATTAATTTAATTTTAATTTAGAAAAAATACACTATAAGCTACTCAGTCATTATTTTTTTTAAGTACCTATTAAAAATTTCTTTATAATCTAGGTATATTTCTTTATAATTATATATATCTTTATAATCTTAACATTAGAATTTACTTAATAAACTTGTACATACCTACATATGTTTGATAGTATATTCGGAAAGCCAGGTGTGTTCTTAAAAAGTATTTCTTTATAATCTTAACATTAGAATTTACTTAATAAACTTGTACATACCTACATATGTTTATAACTACATCACATACCTAAGTATATAATATAAATACCCAATAATATATGTAGGTATAACAGTTAAAATTAATGAATATCAGTATGTAAATTGGAAAATCAACATTACCCTCCAGACTCCAGAGTATTATGTAAAATTATATATTTTGAATACTCTATATTTTCTATATCAAGAGTAATAAGTGGTTCGTAGAATTCATTCACAGTACCTATACCCAACTTTAAACTATTAATTGGTGTTCTATAAAATGGTTGAATATTGTTAAACTGTTTAGCAATAAATACTTTAGACTTATCACTTTTTTTTATACACCCATTGACAATTTTAAAAATACTAAGATTACCATTTAATATTTAATATTATTTTTAATAACAGTTTTAAATTGAGGTCCAGTACATTCTTCAAGCAATGGCCCACTGTTATGTTGCTTTAAATATTCAATAGGTTTCAAAGAAACATTAAGATTATTAGATCTACAGAAACTCTGATATTCATTATAATGATTCATGACCTGCTCCAGAGGTTTGTCATGTTTCCATATCATTTTTTTTAGAGTTTTCATGTAATTTTCGAATTGAAAACATGAGCAATTATCTAAAGACCCATATTTGTTATAATCTTCAACAACATGTAATAAATCGTGTATATTAAGTGACACAAATTGCTTGCCATATAATTCTTCAAATTCATTAACAAAATATTTAAGTAATTTTTCTACAAAATTAATAAGGTCTGTATCACTATTTTGAGAAAGAATCCGGAAGCCAACATATAAACAAACAAAATGTAAGTAACAATTATCATTGATAATATTTTTTAAAACTTCTGGACCTGTATATAATAGAAACTGATTCGAATTTTGTTGCCTTCCATCTAAGAACTTAATTTAACCCCCTTGGAAGTCGAGAAAAATCAGTGCATATTGAACGTTTTAAAGATAATATTTGTTCATTAACATCTATAACCTTTTTAGGTACTTTGAAGTCTTATAGAAGTAGGAGAATTTTTTATGATACCAAGCCATAGTAAAAWTAATTTTTTTGTTACTCCCAAGCAAACAAGATGCATTGAATCAAGGCTAAAACTGTCAACAATGTTTATTTCAGTAACAATGGGAAAGTTATCCGTCATATGGAATTCTTCATCTGTTCTGTTAATAAAATCTAAGTGAGTTCTTTAAGTAAAAACAACACCAGGTAAACAAACTCTACGTTCATAATAAACACCCTAAATTGTACATCTGGTACATGAAAAAGAACCTGTATGACCTTTGGTCTTCAGAATAAAACTTTTAGCYGGTAAATCACAACAGAAAGTATCTACAACCACACGTTTTAAACCATTTTTGTTTGAAAACCATTTTTGTATAAATATTTTAGGTGGTTCATTAACCAAATCTAATAAAACATCATTGCAATTAAGAGGTTTATTTTTGCCCCAATACAACCCAATAAGAAAAACATACGGTTTATATTAAGGGTTACGAATATATCCAAGAATTGGCCAGAAACAACTTGAGGAACTTTTACTTAGAGGGAGACCATCCACTCCTATCACTATTTT